ACCCTCACAGCCTTGTTACTGTTTTAGCGGAACTGGCTGGTGGTAATGAAGAGTCAATGTTTAGGAGTTAATTTTCATACTCTGACCCTGAGGAACAGTTATAGAGGTATAGAGCCATAAGAGATATACAGCACAGAAACAGACCCTTCTGTCCAACTCCTCCATGCCGACCAGATATCCTAAATTAATCTAGTCCAATTCGCCAGTATGTGGCCCATATCCCTTTCCACCCTTCCTATTCATACACCCATCCAGATGCCTTTTAAATGTTAACTGTACCAGCCTCCACCCCTTCCTCTGGCAGCTCATTCCAAACACGCACCACCCTCTGCGTGAAATAGTTGCCTGTTGGGTCCCTTTCAAATCTTTCCCCTCTCACCTCAAACTTATGACATCCAGTTTTTGACTCCCGCACCCCAGGGATAAGACCTTGGCTATTCACCCTATATGCCCCTCATGATTTTATAAACCTCTATAAAGTCACCCTCAGTTTCCGACGCTCCAGGGAAAATAACCCCAGTCATTTCAGCCTCTCCCTATAGCTCCAACCCTCCAACCCTGGCAACATCCTTGTGTATCTTTTTTGAACCCTTTCAAGTTTCACAACATCCCTCCTACAGCAGGGAGAGCAGAATTGCATGCAGCATTCTAAAAGTTGAAAGAGACTGAGACAACATTCTAAGCACTAACTAAAATATAATACTCAAAATGCAGTGTGAAATGTTAAGTTCCACCAGATGCCGCTGGAATTGTAAGAATATCTTTAAGATCAGTGAGTTTATGTGAAGCAGTTTGCTTTTGTGTAAAGTGGATGGTATGGACCTGGAGTTGACATTTATTGGCTGGGCTATGACTGTCTAAAACATTCTTGTACATGTTGTTAGTGGAATCGGATCTTGTCCATGGAAATGTAGTGACAATTTGTAAGATAGAAGAACAGTTTTTAGTCAACAAAACCAATAAAATAATTGAAAACGGGTGACTAAGGACATTGATGTGATTTCTTTTGATCTATTCATGAGAGTAAAAATCTAGTTAGGCTAAAATGGTTCACCTCAAGTCTCACAATTATCGCACGCACTCACACTTGGCTCTGAATCGATCCTCCAAATATCATCCACAAATCAAGGCCCCACAGAGAGCACAGTGAGCAGACCTGGGTACCGCACCTTAGGAAGGGTATATTGGTCTTGGAGAGAGCACAACATAGATTTATATGGACCTCAGAGGTTAAATTATGAGGCCAGATTATACAAATTAGGTCGGCTTTCTCTAGAATTTAGAAGATTAAGGAATGATCTGATCTGAGTCTTCAAGATAAAGATAGGGCAGATAAACTATTTCTACAGGTTGGGGATTCTAGAAGTAGGGGCATAGCCTGAGAATGAGGGTCAGACCGTTCAGGAGCGATGTTAGGAAGCACTTCTACACACAGACGGTGGGAGAGGTTTGGAACTCTCTTCCACAAATGGCAGTGGATGCTGGGTCAGATGTTAGTTTTAAATCAGAGGGAGGTAATTCATTGTTAAGCAAAGGTACTAAGGGATATGAGCCAAAGGCAGGTAGATGGAGTTAGGTCACAGATCAGCCTTGATCTCGTTGAATGCTGGAACAGGCTCAAGGGGCTGAATGGCCTCCTCAAGTTCCAATCACCAATCACTATTCATCATGCCAAAAGCCCAATGAAAGAAGGCTCACAGTGATTGGTCAGCCAGGACTGGGGAAAGATTCCTGGAATAATTAAAACAAAATAATCCAGGTGCTGGAAATCTGAAATGAAAACAGAGAATGGAGAAACTCAGCGGGTCTGGCAGAGAAAGCAGAACTTTTCTTCTTCAGTCCTGAAGAAGGGACACTGGACTTTGAGATGTTAACTCTGTTTCTCTCTTTCTCCACAGATGCTGCCAGACCTGTTGAGTTTCTCTGGCACTTTCTGCTTTTGTTGCAGATTTTCAAGACAGTTAACAGCTGGATATACATTGGATTAAATTCCCTCTCCACTGTTGGGAAACCTCCCTGTGGGATCCGAACATTGCGATGGAAAGTTGCCCATTGATGGTTATCACAGTGACTGACTGTGATAGATTCAGTCCAGTCATTTTACATAATTGTTAGTTCATTGACCTCCAACCAATCCCGTGACAGTTTTCTCTTGTTCCTCCTTCCTCTCTCTTTCTTTTCGCTCCTTTCTGTCTGCATTCATCCTTTCCTTCTTTCCCTACACCACTCCTTCCTTCATTTATTCCCCCTTACCTGATCCCACTGGCTGATGTCCTCAGTTGGGAGTCCATGAGGTGTCTGCCCTCCGAGGTCAGTGGGGGGATAGGATGCGGATGACGGAGAGGATGGAGACAACTGGGGAATCTATACATAAGCACCTCCCTCTCCCCTTACCCCATGGACCCTCGACTCGTGCCTCAGATAAAAATCAACCTGAATGTGTGTTGTCAGCTCTCGTATGGAAATGTGTAGAAATTAATTGACATCCAAGAATACTTGTCCCAGGGTCGCTGAATGATAATAACACTGGGCTAACAATCTATTAGACCCAGCTAATCCGGTGGAGGTACAGGTTTAAACCCTACAACCACAAGTCATTGTTGCAGCTGTATAAAACTTTAGTTAGGTCACGTTTAGAGTACTGTGTGCAATTCTGGTCGCCACACTATCGAAAGGGTGTGGAGGCTTTGAAACAGATGTTACCAGGGTGTTGGAGAACAACACAGTGTGGAGCTGGAGGAACACAGCACCATCAGAGCAGCAGGAAAGTTGATGTTATAGGTTGAGATTGGATTAGAGGTTTTTTTCTTTATTCATTCATGGGATGAGGGCGTTTCTGGTTAGGCCCAGCATTTATTGCCCATCCCTAATTTCCCAGAGGGCAGTTAAGAGTCAACCACCTTGCTGTGGGTCTGGAGTCACATGTAGGCCAGACAAGGATGGCAGTTTCCTTCCCTAAAGGACATTAGTGAACCAGATGGGTTTTTCCGACAATCGACAATAGATTCATGGTCATCATTAGATTCTTAATTCCGAATATTTTATTGAATGCAAATTCCACCATCTGCCGTGGTGGGATTTGAACCCGTGTCCCCAGAACATTATCTGGGTCTCTGGATTAACAGTCCAGCGAGAATACTACTAGGCCATCAGCTCCCCCATGTTGGACAAACGTGGATTGTTTTTGCTGGAGCATCAAAGGCAGTATATAAAATAATGAGAGGCATGGATAGGGTGGACAGTTGGAGTCTTTTTCATCATGCCAAAAGCCCAATGAAAGATGTCTAATACTAGGGGGCACAGGTTTAAACTGGTGGGGAAAGTTTAAAGGAGTTTTTTGTTTACACAGAGGGTGGTAGGTGCCTGAAATACACGGTTAGGGGAGGTGAGAGAAGCAGGACATGTTGGCAAAGTTTAAAAGACGTTCAGACAGACACACAAACAGACAGGGAATAGAGGGATACAAACCATGTGCAGGCAGATGGGATTAGTTGAGAATAGCATCATGGTCAGCACAGACATGGTGGGCCAAAGGGCCTGTTCCTGTGCTGTACTGCTCTACGTTCTATGTTCTAGTAGGTGGTGGAGCTTAAATTCAAAGAATAAAATGTGGAATTGGAAGCTAATCTCAGTGATGGTGACTGTGAAATTATTATGGCTGGTTGGAGAACCCATCTGGTTCACTAATGTCCTTTAGGGAAGGAAACTGCCATCCTTACCTGGTCTGGCCTACAAGTGACTCCAGACCCACAGCAATGTGGCTGATTCTTAACTGCCCTCTGGGCAATTAGGGACGGGCAATAAATGCTGGACAAGATGGTGAAGTCAGATCCTGTGAACGAATAAAAATTAAGTGAATAGTGAGGAACATAGAAACAGGAGCAGGCCATTCTGCCCCTCAATCCTGTTCCATTATTCAATCAGATCATGGTTGATCTGTGGCCTGACTCCATCTACGTGCCTTCAGCCCATATCCTATAATACTTTTGCTTAACAAAAATTTTATGGACCTCAGATTTACAATCCAAAGCTCTATACCAATGCAGGCGCGTTGCTGGCTGCCCCTGGCAGCACCAGGGAGAAATGTAATTATTCTTCCCTTCCCAGGTATTTTCTTATTTGTAATTCTTCAACTTAATTCAGACCATGACAGAGTTACTGACATTGGAATTTCCCATCGAGTGGATGCTCCCATGCTGGAGGTGAAAGGGTGTGTACAGGGGAGACAGTCAATCAGAGTGTCACATAGCATTTCCATTTGGAAACAGAAAGCTGCAGGCCAGTTTAATTAGCGTTGATCTCAACGAAAATCTTACTCACTATAACTGAGGGGGTTCCGTACTGTCAGAGGGTCAGTACT